TGTCCCATACTCAAGCCAAAAAGTTTTGACGTGAGTCGGGGGTCGATTTTTTTCCGGAGCTTTTCATCTTCAGGGCCTGTACGTGTAAAGATATATCTCTTAATGATTGCCATTTTAGGGAATGCATACTTCCCTTGGTTCATACGGTTTGCAGCATCTTGCGCGTATTCTTTTGCAAGCTCCATTTGACGCTTTTCTTTCCAGAGTTTTGTAACCTGATCCTTTGCTTCTTCTAAAGGCTGCAAATGTGTTGGTGAGGCGCTGTCTATGCGTATTGTAAAGTAAGTAGTGCCATCACTGGTGGGAACCATAGGAGACACTTCTCCTTCTTCGGTTTCAAACGCTGTGCTAATAAACTCAGGGCTTTTGAGATCTGGGGAGTCAACATTGTTTGTGTTATCTCCCTGGGAAGTGAGGTCTTTAAGGGTGTTAACCTTTAGCGCATTTTTTTCGGCAACCTCTTCTAAGGTCATGCCTTCGGCGAGGTCATCTTCAATTTTTGTAGAAAGAGAATACAGCTCTTCTGTGTCGAACTCGTCACTGCCTTCTTTCTTTTCAGCTTTTAACAGGATGTATGTGATGTTTCGCTTTTCTGGAATTGTGAAAAAAGCCGCATTGTCTTGATGAAAAGCAATTAGATCCTGTTCTGACGGAACATCAACCTGCGTCTCATCTTTTGCCAGAAAATGAGTATAGAGGACTTCGCGCTTTTCATTTTGCCAGAAAAACAAGGGTTCAGCTAAGGTCGCGGGAACGGATGCACCAACCTGTCCGCCTAATGCTCCCATAAGTTGAGAACGGCGAACGTCTTGGCGCATCATTTTAATGTATTCTTTTTCTGTAAGATTTGCATTATAAAGGAAAGTTTCAAACATTCCGCGGTCAAATTTGCCTTCCTTATTTAAAAAAGAGGGATTTGTATGTGTTTTTTTGCGGATATCTGCATCACTGACAACGAGACCTAGGCGTTCTGCTTCTTGGTCAATTAAAGCGCCTTGAACTAAGCGGCGCAGTATTCCTTGAATGACGCCAAGTTGTTGTAATTGATTTGGGGAGAGCTTTTTCCCAAGGGCTACTTGTATTTGTGCCGCTTCCCGACGGAGCTGTTGGACAAACTCTGTGGGTGTGATTGAGATTTTTCCGACAGTTGCAACGTTTTGCGAATTTGCTCCACGGCCAAAAAAGAGCATATCCCCAACGCCCCAAAGGAGGACAAAGCACAGGGCAAGGATCCCTAAAAATGCTTTGAAGTACCAAGTTTGAGAGGCAGAACGAATTTTTTCAATCATTTGGGCTAAAGCTCCATGGAGACTCAAAGATGACGAATTCTAGAAAATCCCTCTTCTTAAGGCAATGGCTTTAAGAAAATTTTTAAAGATAGAAGGAGCTTTGCAGTTTAAGACCTATAGTTTTATGCAGGTCTTGTAAAATTTTTTTATCAGTCAAAATTTACCCTTTCTTTACGAAACTTTTTGAATACTTCAGTTGTATAAGAGGGAGGAGAGATTTATGAGGAAGGTTTTGTTTTATATCTTTTGTTTGGGAACTATTGCACTTCAGACAAAATCTTTTGCGGTGGTTGATGGCGATATGTTTGAAGAAGAACTTCATGAAAAATTTGTCCAGGCGCCTCAAGAAATGCTTGAGGAAGGTCGTCAATTTTACCAAGGTTTTCAAAAACTCGTGGCTTTTGGTGGAGAGGATGAGCGTCGAGATGTGATTGCTTCACTAATTACTTCTGAAGAAGGTGCCGTGACAGTGGATGGTGTAGGGTATACTTTTCGGAAATCTAGGCTAAATGGAGCGATAAAGTCTATTTTGGCAGATGCTGTTAAAGAAGGAAAGCCGATGATAATGACCCATATTACGCGTCTTGCGGGGCTTTTGGCCTTACAGTATGCCATTGAAACAACTCCAGGAAAAACTCTTCTTTTCAGCTTGGATTTTGAAAAACAGTAAGACTAAAAGCGAAAAAAGACAGGATATTATTTCTAAAGTTAAAAAAACTGTGTTATCCCTGTTTTCAAAAGTTTTTGTTTATGATGAGGGATAAATGGGGGGGCACCAACCTTTAATTGTTGGAAACTGGAAAATGAATGGGACAGCTGAAATGGCTGTGTCTTTGGCACGTGAGGTTTCCGAGCACTCTTTAAACATTCAGGCTAATTTGATTGTGTGCCCTCCTTATCCATTTCTTCCCTTTGTGGAAACAATCTTAAAAGGAAGTATGGTTCGTTTGGGGGGACAAAACTGCCATGCTCAAGAGAAAGGAGCCTTCACAGGGGAAGTGAGTGCTTCTATGCTGAAAGATGTCGGGTGTTCTTGTGTGATTCTTGGACATTCGGAACGACGCCACCTTTTTCATGAGGCTGGGGAAATTGTTCAGGAAAAGGTCTTTGCTGCGTTTAAAAGTGCTTTGATCCCGATTGTTTGCGTCGGTGAAACCTTGAAAGACTACGATCAAGGAAAAACTCGAGAAGTATTGAATTTTCAACTTCAAACGTCTTTGACTGAAAGCTGGGAGGGTGAGGAAATGATCTTGGCCTATGAACCTGTTTGGGCCATTGGGACTGGCAAAACGCCAACATCTCAAGAAGTACAAGAAGTTCATCACTTTCTAAAAGGATGTTTAAGGGGCATGTATGGAGAGAAGGGCGAAGAACTCCCTATTTTATACGGTGGCTCTGTGAATGCAGAAAACGCATCAATTTTTTTAAGTCTTGAAGACGTAGACGGTGTTTTGGTTGGTGGAGCCAGTTTAGAAGCAAAAAGCTTTTTAAACATTGCACGAAACGCCAGTTAATGGCATAGAAGGGAGCAGGCTAAGGTGTCTTTTTTTAAAAGGCACGGATTTAACAAATGAAAAGGCGCTAGGTAGATATGACAACAGCGGTTTTAATTATACATATTTTGATCATTATCGCGATGATTGGGGTCATTTTGATTCAACGTAGCGAAGGTGGTGGCGTAGGTATGGGCAGTGCAGGTGGTTTGATGGGTGCACGAGGCGCGTCAGATTTCCTAACACGCACAACTGCAATTTTAGCGACACTTTTCTTTGTGACCAGTATTACTTTGGCGCTGCTTGCAAAAGGAGCTTCGGTAAAAGAACGGTCTATCTTGGCTTTAGAAGATAATGAAGCTGTGGGTGAAACATCAGCCTTAGTGCAATCTCCAGCAGAAGACTCTGTTGTAAGTAAAGAAAGCACAAAAGAGGAAGAGGCAGAGGAAGCATCAGTAGAAGGGCAAAAAACAGCCCCTGTAAACGTTGGTGAAGGAACAGAGGCTCCAACTGCTGCTGAGCCTGTAATTGAAGCACCTGTTGCTTCTGATGAATAAAGGAATTTAGAATACTAACTCAGGACGTATAATGGCAAAGTATATATTCGTTACCGGTGGTGTGATGTCGTCTTTAGGGAAAGGCATTGCGGCCTCTGGTATAGGGGCATTACTTCAATCCCGCGGGTATAAGGTTCGTATTCGAAAATTTGACCCTTATCTAAATGTTGATCCTGGAACGATGAATCCTCAGCAGCATGGCGAAGTCTTTGTCACAGAAGATGGTGCAGAAACGGATTTGGATTTAGGACACTATGAGCGCTTTATTGGGCGCAGTGGTTTGTCCAGTGATGCGGTTACCGTAGGACGAGTCTATTCTGATGTGATTGCCAAAGAGCGCCATGGAGATTATCTAGGGGCGACTGTTCAAGTGATTCCCCACATTACAGATCGCATTAAGGAGCTTATTTCTGCTGATGTTTCTGAGGATATAGATTTTGTCATTTGTGAAGCGGGTGGAACAGTTGGGGACATTGAAGGCTTGGCTTTAATTGAAGCTATGCGCCAATTTTCCAATAAAGTAGGCCCTAAGAAGTCAATGCATATTCATTTGACTTATCTTCCTTATGTTCCAAGTGCTCAAGAACTAAAGACAAAACCTTCTCAACATGCTGTAAAAGAACTTCTTCATGTCGGAATACAGCCAGATATTTTGTTATGCCGCTGTGATCGCCCAATCCCTGAAGATGCACGTCGTAAGTTGGCCTTATTTTGTAATGTAGAACCAAAAAATGTTTTGGATGCATTAGATGTTGAGAGCATTTATGAAGTCCCTCTTCGATATCGAGACAATCAGTTTGATCTTCGTGTTTTAGAACATTTTGAGATGAAACCTCAGGCCGCTCCTGATATGTCTCCTTGGGAGAATTTTATTGAAAGAGAGAAGAAACCTCTCCACGAAACAACAATCGCTCTTGTTGGAAAATATATAAGCCTTCGTGATGCGTATAAATCAATTTTAGAAGCCTTTACTCGAGATAAAGTCGGTATCTGGGAAAAAATCTCCTTTACCCGTAGACCAAGTGGCGCAGATTTTAAAAGGCGTTGATGGAATTTTAGTTCCAGGAGGGTATGGTTTACGTGGAGCGTCTGGGAAGATGGCTGCTGCATCCTATGCGCGACAATATAACGTTCCTTTCTTTGGGATTTGTTTTGGAATGCAGCTGGCTGTTCTTGAGTTCGCGCGTAGTGTTGCGGGTTTGAAAGAGGCTTCGTCTTCTGAATTTGGTCCAACAGATTGTCCTGTTGTGGGTTTGATGACCGAATGGGACAAAGATGGTAAGCTAGAAAGCCGCCAAGCCAATGGAGATTTGGGAGGGACAATGCGCCTGGGAGCCTACCCCTGTACTTTGCTTGAGGGGAGCCTTGCTTATAAAGTTTATGGACGTTCAGAAATTTCT